GCATACCGCAACGAGCGCGTGCGTCATGTATCGGCATGCCTTGGGAACAACTGTGCTCAGTTTCCGCTCTGTAGCTAACCTGTACGGTTCTGTTCTGTGCTTTAAAAATGTTTAAGACTATCAACTCACCCGCCGCATGTGAGGTTCGCTCAGTGATACGGTTTTTGTCAGCAAGGAACCTGCCTGCTGCAGAAATTCATCGACAGATTTGTGAAATGTACGGTGATACTGTTATGAGTGAAAGCAAAGTGCGTAAGTGGGTACGACAATTCAAAGATGGCCGTGACAACGTCCATGATGAGGACCGCTCCGGTCGCCCTTCTTTGATTACAGACGATTTGGTGGCTTCAGTTGAAGTGAGGATTCGTGAGAACAGGCGCTTCACAATAACAGGTCTCTCAAACGAATTTCCTGACGTGTCGAGATCAGTGCTTTACAACATTGTTTCTGAACACCTAAAGTTTAGGAAACTGTGCTCCTGTTGGGTCCCGAAACTCCTAACAGAGGACCACAAAAACCAAAGATTTGAGTGTGTGATCAAATCAAATCGTCTGTAATCAAAGAAGGGCGACCGGAGCGGTCCTCATCATGGACATTGTCACGGCCATCTTTGAATTGTCGTACCCACTTACGCACTTTGCTTTCACTCATAACAGTATGAGTGTACGGTGGTACACTTTACAAATCTGTCGATGAATTTCTGCAGCAGGCAGGTTCCTTGCTGACAAAAACCGTATCACTGAGCGAACCTCACATGCGGAGGGTGAGTTGATAGTCTTAAACATTTTTAAAGCACAGAACAGAACCGTACAGGTTAGATACAGAGCGGAAACTGAGCACAGTTGTTCCCGAGGCATGCCGGTACACGACGCACGTGCTCGTTGCGGTATGCGCGCGAACTACTAGTGTCTACAACAAAACGGACCTTACTTAAAAAATATCCCTCGTAATATGACCCAGTCAAAATTAAACACTTTTGGGATCCATCGATTTCATTGGGAAGCAGCTCAGCCCATATACTGCTATGCTATTGACACCATAGTGCTTAACCCTGGATGGATTATTCTTTAATCTTGGATCATTTGCTGATAGCTGCTGGATGGTTTTACTGGTCTTTCTTTTAATTAATGAGACACCTCTAGCATTGAGAATTTTGTGTTGTTATTAGTCAAGATCACGTAGGCTCTACTAGATCTGGATGGCACCAGGCAGGGTAAAACTGAACTATATATATTCAGGAAGGATATTATGTCAATATTTGGTTTATTCTATTCATCTTGTTTTGATGGCAACTTTGGAATTTACTCCCTAAAATACAGTGGGGTGGTGTTTGGTTTTGAGACCCCTGAAGATGACAAAAAATGGAGACGGGCATGCCCCATATTATTAAATATGGATGATGAGAGTGTCCACAGGCATATCATTGTCATTTTAGGTATTTGCTGTAATGATTCATATTTGGATGCAACTGTAGATTGAGAGCTGTGGGTTGGGAGGGACCACTGTTTTGTATATTCAGGGAATAATTTGTGTGGGAAAGCTTACAAATATTCAGCCCCTCCCAGCAGTTCAGAGAAGACCACAGAACTGTAATAGCAAAAGTTACATCACATGGAACTTCTTTTCTTTTTTTATCTAAATTCATTAACAAATGGCTTTGAGTTTTGGGTTGTAAAGAATTTGAAAATGCATGTAGGGTGGAGATGTATTCATTTAGCTGAGACGTGTCTGGTTTATGGAAGAATCTGAATTGTAGTCAAGATAACACGAAGGAGGATATTATAATTTTCAGTAATTGTTTCCCTCCTCTTACAGGGAAAAAGACATTTTCCAAGAAGCCACATGCTAGCTGGCATAGTATGTTGTCCTGGTTTATAAAGTCAAACATCTTAAGTATTAAATATCCACAATGAAAAGTCAGTGGTATGTTCGGAAACCCTTCTTCACTCACTGGAAATCACATTTCTGTGAAAGGTGGAATATGATAGTGTGACTGATGGACATTTCTGGAGGAAATGAGTTACATAATGGCTATAAACCATAAATAGCTCATTACTGAGACCACTCATATTATGCAGGTGTAAATGACACAAGGTCTGTGTTGACTTTCTCAGCATGTTTGGGAGGCTTGATCAAAACTAACAACTTCTCAAAGTTTCAGTACAGAGAAAGCATGCTGAAATATTTTACAAAACATTTATTAGATGTTTTACATATTCAGACGTGTTTTACTGAACTTCCCCAATTCAGATGCAAGGAACCTCCAAAGTACCAGATTCTGGGGTCAAAGAACAAAGGAAGGCTTTCATCATTATGATCTTCTGTAGAAGACCCAGAGGCATCAGGTTGGATACAATAACCTCAGTGAGATGGACTGTTGATCTGTGCAGCAAGATTATTATTGCTGCTCTGGACAAGAAAGACCAGACTATTATCATAGAATCATAGAATCGAAGAGTTGGAAGTGACCTCATGGGCCATCCAGTCCAACCCCCTGCCAAGAAACAGGAAAATTGCATTCAAATCACCCCTGACAGATGGCCATCCAGCCTCTGTTTAAAAGCTTCCAAAGAAGGAGCCTCCACCACACTCCGGGGCAGAGAGTTCCACTGCTGAACGGCTCTCAGTGTCAGGAAGTTTTTCCTCATGTTCAGATGGAATCTCCTCTTACGTGACTTATGAAATTGCCTCATGCCAAGTCACAGCAATTTACCCTTATATAATTCATTTGACCTTTGAACTACAGGTGGCCATTGTCAAGGATCCCAACAGATACTGACCTAAACTTGGTATCTAAGGACCTCATAAGATGGGGTGAATCCAGTGTCCTAGGACACTTTGACCCTCTCTAGAGGACAGAGCCCCACACATGACTTTAAGTGAGTTCTGGCAGAGGCTCTGCCCCCAACTGGGGTGAAAGTGTCACCCGACGCTTTCCCCTCAACACGGGAAGCTTCCCGTGTTGTGCTAACTCCAATGGAGACAGCGTGGAACCTCTCTGTGAAGGCAACACTTTCCTCATGTGATGGGGGAAGTGTTGCGGAGAGGGAGCTGTGCAGAAGGCAACATATTCACCCCTCTGTTCCCTCTTTCCTCCTGGTTACCAGATGAAGTGGGAAGCTTTGCCTGCCCTTTAGGATGAGCCCGTAAGACAGTTAAGACAAGTTAAGTCTGATAAAAGTTATAATACAAGAATATTTGAGGGCCACAAGCTGCCCTCATTTGCCTTAACCAGATGACTACAGTGAATCTCAAACATTAGGTATTTAGACCATGGGTATTCAAAGTATGAATTGCTTAGTGTTCCTTTCTTTGGAGGTGTCCAAATGCTTTGGATTAGGGGTGCCACAGCTCTTTCCCCACAATCAAAAACTGAGATGGAGGGGATCAAAGCCAAGAGTGGACATACAGTCACTCCCTTCATGAGGCATTTCTGGGTCTTATGCAGCATATAACGGTGGAATGAAAATCTGGCCACCAATATTTTCTAACTTTCACTTACAGCATGTCTTTCAACAATGAGTGACACAACCTGGGTCAGAAGATAAATCTTATGATACACTGGGGTAATTATGAGTCAGGATGAACAATCACTTACGACGACACATGTTTTGTGCATGTTGCTCAGCCCTTTCCTTACATCCAGACCTAAATGCTATAGCCCTTGATCCAGTGAGCATTAACTAATATTCACAGCCCTTCCATTTGGAGGTTTACAATGCACTTTTATCCTTTGTTACATTCTCTTCAGCAGAGATAGAGAGCTCGATAGAGCCATTCTCTGCCAGGCCCTGATCGTCAGACTCCAAGGTGGAGTTTGCACTTTTATCAGAGATGTTGGTAACAGAGATTTAAAATAATTTAAAAATGAGAACCTACGGAGGCTCTTCATGACATTGCACTGCACCAGGGGCGGCTCAACCCATTACGCAAAGTAAGCATTCGCAATATAGTTGATTTTGCCCAGGGGCGCTCTTGAGGCGCTCTTGGGGGAAAATAGACCTTGACATATGCGAATTGTAGTTATTGGGATGTATAGTTCACCTACAATCAAAGAGCATTCTGAACTCCACCAATGATGGAATTGAACCAAATATGGCACACAGAATTTCCATGACGAACAGAAAATATATATCAATGATTGGTTGGGGGGGGGCACCAAAATACTGTTTGCTTACTGTTGAAAATTACCTAGGGCTGCCTCTGCACTGCAGTGTGTTGTTTTGTTTTGAAATGTTGCTTTGGATAATTCAGAATAATTGAAGAGAGGAAGCATATTTGTGCTCTTGCTCTTGGATTTCAACCAAAGGAAGGAGCTGCCCATTTTCAGTTTAGGGCCAGATTAATGCACGGTCGTGAAGAGAACAAGCCTTTTCCAAGCCTTGAAATCCTATGAAGAAGCACAAGTTTGCAATGCTTCCACATCTCCGACTAATCTTGAGGTGCTCAGTGTGTAAATCATTTGAAAAACACAACATATTAGAGTACAAAAATCCATCAACAAGTGCACTCAGGGTAGTCAACAAGCCATAATAGGACATACAGCCTCTTTTCATTAGAAAACTCCAAAGTTGTTATGGTTGGCCTGACTTGTGACAAGTTACAACAAGAGCAGTCAACCTGCTGCTTTCCCCATGTTCAAACTCCTATATAATCCTGCCAGCATGGCCAATGATAATAGATTATTGGAGTCAGAGTCCAACATATCAAATGGAATTGAAGTTGGCCAACCCTAAACTACTGCATTCCAGGCAAATTAATACAACCATTCTGCCACAACACAATAATAAATCTGCAGAGACTGTGCTGTATGTACTCCAGCATACATCATAAACTTCAGATTTTCTCCCACTAATAAGCATTGACAGAACTGTCGAAGGCTTTCATGGCCGGAATCCATAGGTTGTTGTAGGTTTTTCCTGGCTATATGGCCATGTTCTGGAGGCAATTTTTCTCCTGACGTTTCACCTGCATCTATGGGAAGCATCCTCAGAGGTAATGAGGACCTCATTACCTCTGAGGATGCTTGCCATAGATGCAGGCGAAACGTCAGGAGAAAAATTGCCTCCAGAACATGGCCATATAGCCCGGAAAAACCTACAACAACCCATTGACAGAACTGTCACAAACATGTTAGAGCACTCACAAGACCAGTTTCCATATCATGAAGTCAGTATGATCACATGAATATATTCAAACAAAATATTGTAAGATGACTCCTGCTCACCAAACTGATTCAAATGGGCTCAATGAGAGCTATATCACATCCCCATGTGCACAAGTATAGGGCAGGGATGGAAACAGTTGGAGTCTAGCAGGCAGCATGGTTCCATTCCAGCCCCTCTGGAGCTCTGGAGTGCTCCTGTTGTTACTATTTGACCAGAGGTGCTGTTGTGCAGCATTTCAAAGCCTTTTTAGACATTTAAACATGTTACTCAGCATCATTTCTTGCAAGAGAGGAGCTAGGATCTTTGAGGGGTGGATAGGGTTTCTCAGGGCCGACACTGACCTTCCTGCCTGAAAGGACTACTTGTGAGTTGCCCAATTTCCATTTCTGGTTCATAAAAAGAAATAACTGTAACCTGACATGAGATTATCACACATGTTGCTTCCCTTTCTCTGCTAAATATACACAGTTTATACTAGAATCTTGTGAAAGAATACTTTGCCAGTGATGGGCAATCTTTTGATCTTGGTGTGTCAACATTTGCCAAAAACCTGAGCATAACTTGAGTGGGGGTGTCACTTCGAGAAAAAACCCATAATTTTGCTATATTTATAATTTAAATAAGAAAAATGTATAATCCATGCTGAGTTATGGAGTGAACAATGCTCAAACGTGCAGATGTTAAATTTGTAGAGCCTTTTACAAATTTAAGGATGGAATTAGATTGGTTCTTATAAGGTGTACTTCTTTGTATGCGGCTGCATGTGTCTGCGTGTCATCAAAAATAGCCATGCATGTCAGTGCTGACATGCATGTCATAGGTTTACCATCACGGCATTAGGATGATGTGGCAGAAATGATATTGGTGTGGACTGAGGATGTAATATGAAGATGAGTGGCACTTAACAAAATCCTCAGAGACTCCTGACTAAAGAAAACATCAGCCATGATTTCCCATTTGCTCCACTCCACTGTGTCCCATTGCCTTGTCCTTGCTTACTCAGTGGCCAGCCTTTGATACTGTACCAGGGCAACATTGAGCAAATCCTCATTAGATCCAAGCAGAACTAATCCTTGTACCCTTGAGGAGGAAAAAAATTAGCAAGTTCTCACAATTACTACAAGATTTGGACAAGTTTGCGATCCAACATTAGGGACGATGTCTTGATTTGAAAGATTAATGCAAAATTCTATGTACTCTCTACCCTGAACAAAACCAACACAGACAGAACAATGAAGAAAAAAGAAGAAGAAATAATGCTTGGAAATTAGTTCTAGTTAAATAATCCAGTTGAAATCTTCCGGTAATGGAAAAAAGCAGGTACTGTTACCTATGTTGAAAACAGAGAAGATCATTGAGGAATCAACATGAAGGTCCATTAGGTAGAACATTCCCAGATTTGCTGCCCCAGCACCAGACACTGTTAGGTCTGACCTACAGCCCTTTCCCTCCCCAAACTCCCAGAGTCACTGCAGTTTGCGATAAATGCGACATTTCAGAATTGCAGTATAAAATATGGCCGTTAAAAAAAAAGTCTTTCCTTCTGGTCCTTTGCCAAGTTTTCAATGCAGGATGAGGTCACCCCAGGAGAAGGTCTGCCTGCTTGCCTTCTTGCCCACCTTGGCATTTCCCCCATCTCTGACTTCTTTTGAGGGGAGATATGCAGGGGAAGGTCTGGCTCACTTGCTTCCTGTATGCACTGTTGTTACTGTAGTTGGCCTCGGTCTCCTCTCTCCAACAGGAGAAATTCCAGGTGAAGCGGATGATGCAAAACTACAAAGAGTGGATGGTGCCATACCTGAAATTGAGAGATAAGACAGCACATAATGCAAGACCTCTTCCCTTTAGCAATCAGTCATAGAATCATAGAGTTGGAAGAGAGGTGAAAAAGAGTCTCTACCTGTCTGCAGAAAGTAGCAAGGAGGGCACCATTCTTACATCTCTAGGAATAGGGTTTTGGACCTGGCAGTAGCCATTTTTTTATTTTTTATTTATTTATTATTCAAACTTATATGCCGCCACTCCCCTGGGGCTCAGAGCGGCTTACAAGAACAGGCTAAAATTGAACACAATTTAAAAACAATTTAAAACAATTTAAAAACAGCAATATCAGAGATCAAAGGCCCGTCGAAACAGATATGCCTTATATGCCCTGTGGAAAGCTGATAAGTCCCGCAAGGCACGGACTTCAGCTGGTAGAGTATTCCAGAGTGATGGTGCCACTGCTGTAAAGGCTCTGCGTCTGGTTGCTGTTAGACACAAGGTCTTGACACTGGGAATTTCCAACAAATCTTGGTCTTCAGAATGGAGGGATCTCTGGGGTTGGTAGGGGGTGAGGCGGTCCCTCAGGTACATCGGCCCCAGACCATGCAAGGCCTTAAAGGTGAGTACCATCACTTTGAAAGTGATCCGGTGCTCAATTGGTAACCAATGCAGCTGCAGTAAGATTGGTGTTATGTGGCATCTCATCGGAATTCCCGCAAGAAGCCGAGCAGCTACATTTTGTACCAACTTGAGCTTCCGGATCACTGACAGAGGAAGGCCAATGTAGAGGGCATTACAGTAGTCCAGTCTTGAGATGACCGTAGCCTGGATCACCGTAGCTAGGTCGTCCCTGGACAGGTAGGGGGCCAGCCGTCTAGCCTGCCGCAGATGAAAAAAAGCGGTTCTGCTAACGGCGGAGACCTGGGCCTCCATCGTCAGCAGAGGGTCCAAAAGGACTCCCAGACTCTTTACCAATGATGACGGGCGTAGCGCCTCGCCATCCAGGTAGGCAGCTGGATATCCCCACTGCCCGGTTGACCCAGCCATAGGATCTCCGTCTTTGCTGGATTCACCCTCAACCTGCTGGCACGCAGCCATCCAGTAACGGCCTCGAGGCACTGATGGAAACAATCGGGTACAGAGTCCGGTCAGCCTTCCATCTTCAGCACCAGCTGAGTGTCATCAGCGTACTGATAACACTCAAGCCCAAAACCTCGAACCAGCTGAGCAAGTGGTCGCATATAGATGTTAAACAACAGAGGGGAGAGAATGCCCCCCTGAGGAACCCCACAAGATAGAGGGGACCTCTCAGAGACCAGGCCTCCCCTCTCCACTCGCTGTCCACGGTTGTGAAGAAAGGAGGACAGCCAGTTTAAAGCTGTCCCCCTGACTCCAGCAACAGCAAGGCGGTGGGTCAAAAGATTGTGGTCAACTGTGTCAAATGCTGCTGTGAGATCCAATAACACAAGCAGCGCTGACCCGCCTGGTCAAGCTGGCATCGAAGGTGATCCGTGATGTCCCATGCCCTGCACGGAAGCCGGACTGGAAGGGATCTAGTCCGGCTGTGTCGCCTAGGAATTGCTGCAACTGCTCTGCTGCTGCCCTCTCAATCACCTTGCCCAGGAACAAGAGATTTGAAACTGGGTGGTAACTGGAAGGAACCGAAGAATCTAAATCTGGTGTCTTCAGCAGGGGAGAGACCACTGCCTCTTTTAAACCCAATAAGAAAACTCTTTCGTAAATCCCACCAAATTTAGTCATACTGTGATGGCAGTGAGAGAGAAGAGCCGCCCCAGAAAATCTTAGAAAATGCGCAGGTTCATATGAGAGATTATGGCTCTTTAGATCACTGCTTCTTAAACTGTGGGTCCTGACTTGTAGCTCAAAAAAATGGCTACAAGTCAAAGGTTTCTGAATGTCATCAATTAACACAAATCTACTAATAACAGTGTGCAATATTTACAATGGATTCTGCAGAAAATGCTTCAGCTGTACTCCACAAAAAAGAAAATCAGCCTGTTCAGCAAGCCTAGCAAATGCTGATTTGTTATCTGTAAGTGTATTATTTTTAGACTTATTTTATACTACCGTATATTGGGGGTCACATAAACATTTCTTTGGCTCAAATGGAAAAGTTTAAGAAGCACTGCTCTAGGTCACTGCTTGTAAACTTTGAGTCCCAACCCCAAATGGGGTCCCCTTAGCTCAATGCTGAGGTCACAAAAATGGCAACAGTAAAAGGTTTCTGAACACCACCAATTTACACAAATGTATCACTAACAGTGTGCAATATTTACAGTGGGCTCTGCAGAAAATGCTTCAGCTATACTTCTTATAAAGGTCTGTTTAGCAAGCCTTGGAAATGCTGATGTGTTATCTGTAAACATTTTATTTTTATACCTATGTCACATAAAAATGTCTCGGGTAGAAGTGTCTCACGAGTGGAATTTTTTTAAAGCCCTGCTCTGGAGAACTGAGACTAAAACTATTTAGGGCTCTGACAAGTCATAAGAAGCACTTTGAATTGTGCTTGGAAATGGACTTGAAGCCAGAGAAGTTACAATAATGACAGCAGTCTTATTATCCCGAAGTGGTTTCTGAGTTCTGTTAATCCCACAAATGAACATTACATTTTTATTTATATAAATTTAAGCCTGTGGCCACGAACTCCCCAAATCTTTGTGGAACGTAAGGACACAATAAATGACACATTGGGAGGGTTGCTGAAGTTCTCATGTTTTGCCAAGGAGGACTTCATTGACTGCTTAGATTCTTACCAGCTTAGAGTCATTCTTGAAGGAAACAATGCTACTTTAGGCTTGGAAGCAAAGTTGTATCATCCTATCAAGTGGAATTCATGGAAAGCAGTTTTGACCTAGGTTGCTACTGAGAAGGAACTCAGTCAAAGTAGAAGGTGATCAACAGGACTCCAGAAATCAATTGGCTTGCTATGTACTCACAATCTTTCCTGGCTGTTCCATCAGGTAGAGGGCTGGCTGGACTGCGGGAGCTTGACATGTTTACACTTGAACTGTCCAAACTACTGCCGAGATGTAACCTTCTCATGTGTCTCACCACTGCGGTGGCATTAAAGGCTTGCTGGAAAAGTGCAGAAAATAAGTAAGTAAGTAAATAGATATTTGAACTAATTAACTGAATAAAATATTTAATCTTTGATGAACAGGTAACACTCCCTTAGTAACACTCTTAGGAAACACCATCGGAAAAATCTGAATGAGGTCTTTCATACGATCTGGCATCCTGCTGTCCTACCAAGTCATTAGTTGATTTTTTGAAACATTCACTTCCAAGGTATCTATCTGAGTCCACACTGACACAATACTGAATCAATGATTTCACATTATGAAGCCACAAATAATCTAGTTAGATTCTGCATCCATGGATTCAATGATCTATAGGTGGTATTTTTTAAAACACAAAAATTTAAAAAGCGAACTTGATTTTGTTATATTACGAGAAGGGACTGATTTTACTACATCCTTGTATATAATGGGACTTAAGCATCCATAGATTTTGGTATTCACTGAAAGTCCTGGAAGCAAACCTCAGCAGATACCAAGGGTCCGCTGTATATACATTTGCACTGGCAAATATTTCAAATCCAAAGCATAATCTTTGAAAATTGTGCTACCCATCAGCTACATACAGCCCTTTCTGAAGGTCCTCTTAAAAATCCTGCATTATAATTACTTAGGCTCGATAACATACACAAAAGACTGACTCAAGTTTTTTTTTTTCTAACCCTCACTCTTGCCAGAAAATGACTCATACAGGGAGCTTTCCCTGCCAGAAAATGTCTCATACAAGACTGATGATAAGTCATCAATTTTAATGGTCCAAAATGGCTAGCACTACATAATGGTGTATAAAAATGTAAATATATTCCTCTGGGACCTGGAGTGTATCCATTTTTTTTTAATTGCATAGAATCATAGAATTGGAAAAGAGTTGGAAGAGACCTCTTGGGCCATACAGTCCAACCCCTGCCAAGAAGCAGGAAAACTGTATTCAAAGCACCCCTGACAGATGGCCATCCAGCCTCAGTTTAAAAGCCTCCAAAGAAGGAGCCTCCACCACACCCAGGGGCAGAGAGTTCCCCTGCTGAACAGCTCTCACAGTCAAAAAGTTCTTCCTAATGTTCAGGTAGAATCTCCTCTCCTGCAATTTGAAGACATTCTTCTGCATCCTAGTTTCCAGGACAGCAGAAAACAATCTTGCTCACTCCTCCCTATGATTCCCCCTCATATATCTATACATGGCCATCATGTCTCCTCTCAGCCTTCTCTTCTAAATATGCGTAGCTCTTTAAGCCTATTTTAAAGTTGCTATTTCTACTAACCATTTTTCCTCTTCCAAATAAATTTTAGAAGGTCTTTTGTCCAGTCTTTAAATTTTTTAATATTTCTAATTATAGCGATATTTTGAAACAGATAGAGCAATTTTGGTGGGACCGACATTTTGACTAGAGCTATTCTTCCCATAAATGACAAATTTAAATGCTTCCATTTCTCCAAGTCTTTTTGTATTTCTTTCCATGCTTTATCATAATTATTGGAGAGAAGTTGCCCATTTTTTGCAGTGATCCAGATGCCCAGGTATTTAATTTTATTTACAATTTGGAGGCCCGTGATCCTTTTTAAGTCGTCTTGTTTATCCTTTCTGATGTTCTTAGTTAAAATAGTAGTTTTGTGTTTATTTAATTTAAAGCCGGCAAGTTTACCAAATTCTTCACTTTTGTTCAGCCAGTTTTTAATATTTTCCCGTGGATTCTCTATTATACCAATTATATCGTCTGGGTATTCTTGTTTACCAATTTTTACACCTTTAATCGTTTTATCTTCTTTTATACTCTTTAGCAAAATTTCTAAAGACATTATAAAGATCAGAGGAGAGATAGGGCATCCTTGTCTGGAACCTTTTCCTATCATGAATTCCTCTGAAGTTTGTCCATTTATTTGGATTTTGGCCTTTTGGTTTTTATAGAGTTCTTCAATTGCGTTGATAAAATGAAAGCCTAGATCCATTTCTTTCATTAAAATTTTGAAAAAGTCCCAATTCAAATTATCGAAGGCCTTCTCCGCATCAATGGCAAGGAAGGCCGCCTCTTTTTGGGGATTAGCTTCATAATATTCAATCATATCTATTACAATTCTCACATTATCTTTTATATTTCTCTTTGGTAAAAAGCCCACCTGCTCTTCCCCTATCCAATTGCTTAAAAATTCATTTAATCTTTGAGCCAATATATTTGTAAAAATTTTATAGTCCACGTTCAGAAGAGAAATGGGCCTGTAATTGTGTACGTCTGATTTTTCTGTCTGTTCCTTATGGATCACTATTATTTCTGCTAAAATCCATGTTTCCGCGATTCCTTGGTTTTGGAATATTCCATTCATTACTCTTTTTAGCATTGGCATAAGTTCCTTTTTAAATATCTTATAATACCCAGCCGTAAAACCATCAGGACCAGGCAATTTCAGGGAGAGTTGATGATACAAAAGTCTAAATGAACTGTGTGACTTTTAATTTATTTAAGTGACATTACAACTTTGTATGCCATTGGAATTGCAGTATTGGAGAAAGATGGTGAAAGGGACTCAGAGGTACCACTCCATCACCTTGCCAAGTTGTAAAGCAAATAGATAAAGAGAATGGAAAATAGTGTGGATTCATTATCTATGAAGACCTTTCCTAGGACTTTGTTCAACTGTATTTCTTCACAAAAGAATGGAAATGCTCCACCAAGCTGAACTTTCATACTGAAAAGAAGAGGGAGTCTTTTGGAAAAGAGCAGGGAAATGTTCATGTTTGGCTCCATAACAGATTCCATGATAAAGTTAAAATCAACTCTTCCCAACAGTATTGGCAACTCAAAACATGACAACTTACTCTCCATTTGCTTTTAGCAAAGTTCTTGCGAATCTGAGCACTGACGGATTCATGGATATTTTTACTGAGTGCGGTGTCCCCAGCAATCCTGAAATAAAAGAGGGGGCAAAAAAGATAAGGAGACATTTCACAAAATGTTTTTCAGATGCTTTCCTTCTCTCCTGCCCATTCTTTCCCTTTTCTTCACAGGCTTAGGAAACTGTGGCCCTCCAAATCTTGTTGCATTGCAACTCCAATCAGGTCTAGCTGGCTTTACTTATTTGAAACATTTATATTCCACCCTTCTCACCCTGAAGGGGACTCAGAGCGGAACAGCATATATACGGCAAACATTCAATGCCAGGACACAAATTCACATACAATACATAAACATTAAAAAAAAATCAAAATATTAAAACCGTCCTAGTCGTCTGTGTAAAATCTAATTGGCCTGGTCATCTTTCCTATTGCCGCTTTATTGCCCTGTTTCAAAAGCTTGGTCCCACAGCCAAGTTTTTACCATCCTTCTAAAGGACAGGAGGGAGGGGGCCAACCTGATCTCACCAGGAAGGGAGTTCCATAGCCGGGGAGCAATCATCGAGAAGGCCCTGTCTCTCGTCCCCACCAATCGTGCCTGTGACAATGGTGGGACAGAAAGCAGGGCCTCCCCAGAGGATCTTAATCTCCACGATGGTTCATAGGGGAGATGCATTCGGACAGGTAATTTGGGCCGGGGCCATTTAGGGCTTTATAGGCCAAACCAGCACTTTGAATTGTTCTTGGTAGCAAACTGGCAGCCAGTGGAGCTGGCGTAACATGGGAGTTGTATGCTCCCTGTATGCCACCCCACTTATTAACCTGGCTGCCTCTCGTTGGACTATTTGAAGCTTCCGAGCAGTCTTCAAAGGCAACCCCACATAGATTGCATTGCAGTAGTCTATCCTAGATGTAACGAGAGTTTGGATCACTGGAGCTACAGGTCAAACATGCCTGTAAAGCCACTCTGTCTGCCTTATTCAGCAAAAAGAGAAAGGTTCCACCCATGTCTTCAAATATCAGATTTTAAAAATTATATTTAGTAGCTATGTTCATACTTATCAAGTTAACACAGATATATGCATATCCTTAATTTTATACTTTATTCTTTAGTGGAAAATGCCCATAATTTGAGTTCAACAATACCCTACCGAGACTTCACTTTCAGGAAAGCTAATGCATGGTGGGAAATCAGGGCCAGCTGGCCAGATTCAGCTACTGGTAGATGTGCTCAGCTGCCAGGCCTTGACGCTTGTGGTGGATTTGGCATTGGGCAGTTGTACAAGATTATCTTTCTTTCTACCATCAGAGTCAGGTTACATTATGTGCAAGCTGAACAAGTGGCTTAATTTGATGATGGACTTAATATAGTCCATAAACTGAAGCTGAGTCTTGACAAGAAGGTGGTACTGTGAGTAGTAGGTTTCCAAGTCCAGCCTTCTACATAGGGCTGTACTTCTTCAAAAAGAGCAAATGCCTGGAATATTCCTGAGTCAACATTATCACTATGTCCATGGTTCCCAGCTTTTGGTCTTCCAAATATTGAAGCTTTTACTTCCAAATTTAACTTTACATTTGGCCTTCCCACTGTTTTTAATTATGTGTTGTCTTATTGATAATATTGTATATTTTATCGTCTATGTTTTTATTTTAATTGCTTGTACTGTTGTTATTATTGCTTGTATTGTTGTATTCGGCCTCGGCCTCATGTAAGCCGCACTGAGTCCCCTGGGGAGATTGTAGGTAGTCCCCTGACATTAAGTCCAGTCATGTCTGACTCTGAGGTGTGGTGCTCATCTCCATTTCTAAGCCGAAGAGCCAGCGTTGTCCGTAGACACCTCCAAGGTCATGTGGCCGGCATGACTGCATGGAGCGCCGTTACCTTCCCGCCGGAGCGGTACCTATTGATCTACTCACATTTGCATGTTTTCGAACTGCTAGGTTGGCAGAAGCTGGGGCTGACAGCGGAAGCTCACGCCGCTCCCCGGAATCGAACCTGCGACCTTTCGATCAACAAGCTCAGCAGCTCAGTGCTTTAACCCACTGCGCCACCGGGGGCTCCAGGGGAGATGGTAGCGAGGTACAAATAAAGTGTTATTATTATTTATTATTATTATTATTATTATTGTGGGCTTCAGCTCCTAAAAACCTACATCATTAGTCATGCTGGCAGAGGCATCTAGGAGATTGAGTGAAAAAACACATGAAAGGTAGAAGGGTTGATAATCCCTAGTCTAAGTGATCTTCATGTCACTGATTGGCTTTATCAGCTTTGCCAAAGATGATAATTGCTGGAAGTAATATAATGGACATAGTAATCCATGCTATGTTATGGTTTACTGTTCTGGAACAGCTGTACCAGGAGCTCCAATTTTGTTAGCTTTGCATTGAATGTTTGTTTGTAGTCCTAAGTTTCAGGGACTCTGCAGATAGGTGGCTTCTTTTGGCTGCAGTCATAGGGCAGACCACCTGTCCGTCATCATTAAGTTTTGGTCCTGCCCCTTGCTCAGGGCAATTGGGAAGGGAAGTGGGCCATTTTGTTAGTTAGTCTCAGTCAGGTTAGCTTATGTATAGGATGTGTGTAGCTTCCCCTGTACAAAAGCTTCAACCTTTAAGAATTCCAAGGAAGCATTCCTACAGCTTTGAGAATTTCCAGGAAAACAGCCTTAAAGACTAAAGAACTCCAGCTGGAGAAAATCCACTGCCTTGCTGGTAGATCCACTCGGCGTCCGAGAAGCAGTTCAGCCCGATAGCGGAGCACACATCAGTGAGGGTTGGATTTCAGTCAGCCTGGGAGAAGTTAAAAAGGGGAATTTTCCTTTAAAGAAAAGTTATTGAAGATAGTGCCTGTCCCCTGTGGACAAGATTGAGAGAGCCAATACTTTATTAAGAAAGCCTTGAAGTACCTGTTTGATTTCATTAATAAAAGATTTTGTTGTACTTCTCAAGCCATCTGAAGATTCTTTGTAGTGGAAACCTCTGAGAACTTCTCCTTAGGCCCCTGGCTTCCCGCTGGGCAAAGGTTACACATCCTATTTTTAAAGCCAACCAATTACAGGCCCAGCGGCGACAGAACATTTACTTAAATACCCCTCGTACTCCTTATAGCTGAAGCATAGTCACCCCTATAGTGAGTTTGTCATATGAAACAATCTTTTAGACTATTGAGAGAAAGAATTCGAGTCATGATAATGAACCCAAGATATGCAAGAGAATTTCTACCATTACTCCTTTCTTCATTCACTTGTTTAAGCAAGTTGTTGTTGTTCATTCGTTCAGTCGTCTCCGACTCTTCGTGACCTCATGGACCAGCCCACGCCAGAGCTCCCTGTCGGCCGTCACCACCCCCAGCTCCTTCAAGGTCAGTCCAGTCACTTCAAGGATGCCATCCATCCATCTTGCCCTTGGTCGGCCCCTCTTCCTTTTGCCTTCCATTTTCCCCAGCATCATTGTCTTCTCTAGGCTTTGCTGTCTCCTCATGATGTGGCCAAAGTACTTCAACTTTGTCTCTAGTATCCTTCCCTCCAATGAGCAGTCGGGCTTTATTTCCTGGAGGATGGACTGGTTGGATCTTCTCGCAGTCTAAGGCACTCTCAGAACTTTCCTCCAACACCACAGCTCAAAAGCATCGATCTTCCTTCGCTCAGCCTTCCCTAAGGTCCAGCTCTCACATCCGTAGGTTACTACAGGGAATACCATGGCTTTGACTAGGTGGATCTTTGTTGCCAGTCTGATGTCTCTACTCCTTACTATTTTATCGAGACTGGACATTGCTCTCCTCCCAAGAAGTAAGCGTCTTCTGATTTCCTGGCCACAGTCTGCATCTGCAGTAATCTTTGCGCCTAGAAATACAAAGTCTGTCACAACCTCCATATTTTCTCCCTCTATTTCCCAGTTGTCAATCATTCTTGTTGCCATAATCTTGGTTTTTTTGACGTTTAGCTGCAACCCAGCTTGTTACAATTAACTATGTGGTCAAACAGTGTCAAATATTTCTGCATTAGGCAATCAATTGCAGAACTGCTTACCATGGATGTCGGACTGCCTGTTCACATGTATATCTTTTATTAGGATCTTTCTCCATCAAATTCCGGATAAAATCTTTAGCTATTTTCAGGAAAGGGAGGAGTATGGGAAAAAAGAAATATATTGGATGCCTGAAGCAACAAAGACACATAGTGGTATCAGCACAAACATGATTCTCTGAAATAATATAGAAATATTTTACTAGGAAGCATTAAAAATGAAACATTGGCTATCTATGGGATGTCATACATACAAGGCATTAGAGTAATAGCAAAGAAATGGCTCAACAGAACCACCACACAATTCAATTCTGCTTGTTTCCCCAGACTGCTGTATTTCTTCATAAATCCATGTTTTATGTACTGAATTATAATGGTATGATTTATAGTACAAGACATAAAGTGAAAATGGATTGTATTCAAATGTTGTTGCAATCAATACAGGCAGTCCCTGAGTTACGACTTACAAATGACTCATAGTTAAGAACGAGTTGCAAACATCCAACTTACAAATGACTCTTAGCTAAAAAGTGGGTGAGACTACAAGAAGTGAGCGGAATCTACCCCTCAGAAGGGGAATTCACTCCTGGAAGAGTTTTCATGGGGAAAAGGTGGCTCCAGTGAAGCTTTCTCACCAATCCTTGTTTCCACAACACATCAAATTGTTCAAAATCCAATTCTCACAGGGACAGAAAGTGAGATGAAATCTTCTGAGCAGGGGCACAGACAGCAAAATAAATACCACAGGGGTGTTAGACCTTTGCTATGCCATCCAAAGTATGTGCGAACGTGCACACACACACATTGCTGGAGTCACCCTTACAAAATGTGCCTGTTCCGTCTTACATACAAATTTAACTTAAGAACAAACCTATAGAACCTAACTTGTTTGTAACTTGGGGACTGTCTGTATATATGATTTCAAAAATATGCAGATGTGCATGGTTTGTTACTTGGGACAATTTATTTTGGTTCTGATATTCCTCAGGATCACGAAGTTCTGATTCAGGACACTGGAAATTTTATTTAGCCTCCCACATCCTCCACATTTTGAGATTTAACAGAAAAGACAAATTTCATAAAAATGTGGGTTTGGAATGTGGATGCGTTACTTTTTTAAAGTATTTATTTATTTATTTATTTATTTTGCACATTTCTACCCCGCCCTTCTCAACCCCGGGGGGGGGACTCAGGGCGGCTTACAAAAGCCACAATTTGATGCCAGCAAAACAGATAATAAGATAAAACATATACCAACAACAATTATAAAACAATTAAAACAATCCAGTTATACAACACAACTAATAAAAATCAATCTAATGATCAACGTTCGCCAAGCTCAGAGGGATTTCAGCCCGCCCCCCGAAATTCTCATGGTGGCCCGCGAGAAGGCCTTACTGGTACATTATTTAAACTGTTATGTTTATTCATATCATGATCTGATCACCATGCTCAATATATCCCATATGCATGGGGGTATTGGGGTAACGGTACAAAAGGTTTGCTAGGGTAGACCCTCTTTCACTCAGACTCAGCCCCCCCCCCCCCCCCCCCCCCCGAAAAAATTCAGCCCCCCCCCCGCAACATCCTGGCTACGGGCCTGGTAGACCATCTCCATTCATGCGGTTAGGCATGAGGATCTCTGTGAATGTGGAAAATCGTTAATATATCAGACTCTCTTAGGTGTGCCAAGGGACCCGGGGCAGGGGAGGGGTGTCATGTATCATGTTCTGCAGTTGATGGTGGTTGCTGGTGGTAGGACTAGCAGTTGGTGATGGAAGGGTTAATGTATGTCTTAGTTCTAAAGGGTTGAGTAATCTGTAAGTAAGAGTTCATGGCTGAAAGCAATTAAAGGTGGAGGTATGAAAGGAGATAGGTTGCAGCTAGGTGTATCTAGATATAAAGAGTTAGCCTTGGGACTGAGCTTTGGGAGAATTCTGACCTGCCTCTTGAACCCTTGGAACCCTGGAACCTTGAATCTTTGGACTGGTTTTTGACTACGGTATAAATTCTTGATCCCTGGACTTGCTCATTGAACTCTCGGCGTTTGACCACTGGACTGGACCTTTTGACTAAGGTGTTATCTTGAACCTGCAACAGCGTTTGTTGTCAGTTTTGTTTTATATTCTTTCTGGCTGTTTTGGACTATTAAAACAGCCAGAAAGTAAGTGATGCTTTAATTAAATTGTTTAACACAAACTGGGAGTTTGGTTCATCTCTGCCTACATATTGGCAGAGCCCTGGCATCATGACAAGGGGGAGGAGTGCCACAATCATTAATGTGGTCCTCAGAGGGCTCAATTGCTCTCACAGCCTATTTCTTTGTGTGTTTGTTGAAAGAAAAGGCAGGAAAGATAGGTGGGCAGAGAAAGAGACAAAATACAAAGATGCCTAAGGACCAAGAGGGAGGCAGCGGTCAGCGGGCAAGGGAGGAAAAAAGTTCTACTGGCCAGGTTCTCTGTGATTTGCTCTAGTTGCCCTCTCAAACTATTTCCTTCCACTGCAACTGGCATCTTCATATGTGTCCCAGTTTCAGAAGAAAGAGGAAGGGAGAGTGAATAGCAGAGAGGGAAGAGAGTCCACTTCCTCTGTGCCCCCCATGGCTTCGCTACTCATTGGCCCAGCTGCCCTCCTGGCTTCCTTCTATCCATTGTGCATCTCCACATGCACCACATGGACCCCAGTTATGGGAGAGAGGGCCCAGGAAGGTCTGGTCAAGTGCCTTTCAAAGTCTACAAAAAAAATGGGTTTGGAGGTGACTGATGACAGCCATGGTGATGTTGTTGCTAACTCATTCTGAAACTGTTGTGGGAATGTGGATGCAATGCCTTAGGTTTCATGAAAAGGGATGGCGGCTTTGGAAGGGTGGTGGCAAATCCATGAAAAATCAAATCCAGGAATGTCAAACCCGCAAATATAGAAACCTGACTGTACTCTCCATGTCTGCATCCCATTCTGAACAGACTACTAGTCCACACAAATACATTGAGTCTTTATCATAGTATAAGATGCATATTTAAATATGAAGGTTGAAAGACAAGTAAAATGTAATAATGGGAAATGTAGTTGGGAGGAGAAAGAAAGTCTATCTTCTAACATAATGTCAGATGTTTTAAAAGTATGAACAAATGAACATTTGGTCAATTATTATATTATAATTATTATATTATAATTTTTTCCTTACCAGAGTCAGAGATATCATCCCAATATGGAGAATCAAACTCATATTCTGCCTTAAGGATTTGCTCAAAAAGCTTGGAGTCATTTTCATCGTAGAAGGGAGGATACCCACAGAGACTAAAAGACAACATAAAAAGCATGACATATTCAGTCTACAAAGAACACCAAAGATATACTTCAGAATTCTTTCACGGTATTTTCTTCTCCCAATCAAGAATTTACGAATTGGTCATAGTTCCAACTGTTCCAGGGTTCCAACTGTTTTATTAGCTTTCCAATGCACCCAGATATACTAAGCACAAACTATATGCAACCCAGACCATGTAACCAAAATAAAAGGACATATTTGTCTTTTTTTTCTGAGGAAAAACATCAGCATCCATCAAAGAAAAGAGGATTTTAGCATTTATTATTATTATTATTATTATTAATAATAATAATAATAATAACTTTATTTGTACCCCGCCACCATCTCCCCGGTGGGGACTCGGTGCGGCTTACATGAGGCCAAGCCCAAACAGCAATTACATAAAATAAAACTGAAAACGCAAATAATAAACATTAATAACGTAATATCAGAAAACAAATGAAAACATAGCAATATAAGATTACAATAAGCACAATCACAATAACAATTGGCAAGCTAAATGTAATGGATAAAAGAAAGGCTGATTAAAATCAGATTAAAAACTCAGGCGAGATAAAAACAGAAACAGATTATTTGCGGAGGAGATAGTGGAGGTCATGGAACCAAGCTTTCCCACAAGGGGGGAATGTACTCCAATGACAAAAAATATTGAGGCTAAACACTAGTGGGAGAATGTAAATCTATTCATCAAATGTGCAGTGAAAGAGCCAGGTTTTAAGGTTCTTTTTAAAGGTTTCTAGGGTAGGGGCTTTCCTAATGTCTCCAGGTAGTGAGTTCCAGAGTCGGGGAGCCACAGAGGAAAAAGCTCTTTCCCTTGTACTCACCAGGTGAGTCTGTGAGACTGGCAGGGGCGAAAGAAGGGCCTCCCCCGAAGAACGGAGGGCCCGAGATGGTTCATGGAGGGAGATACGGTCACGAAGGTAGGCGGGTCCCAAACCATTTAGGGCTTTATAGGTGATAACCTGCACCTTGAATTGGGACCAGTAAATAAACGGCAGCCAGTGGAGCTTCTTGAACAGGTGGGTTGACCGCTCCCTGTAAGTTGCCCCATTTTCCTGGGAAGGGGGCAATATTGTAACAGACTACGTAATTCAAGGCCATACAAACATGTTTCTTGACCCAAAATTAGGAAAAATATTATCCGAATGGAGAAAAGTTATATTTAACCAAATTTGAATTAGTGTTGTATTATAATGCCTGTGTGATCTAGTATTCCATACCTAAGGTTGGGGAGGAAGAACAATGGCTGGCTTAGCTTGGAATATTAAAAACCAAAAATCATGCCATGTCCAGCTATTTTTTAAACAATATTCTTGACCCCTTTGACATATTCCTGTCATTGGCTGATTTTTCTATACTTACCCAGTTCTCTTGAATGTTTGCACAAGTTTTCCCAGTGCTAGTTTCTAAGCCAGCACATTTTCTGATTATCCCCTCATTTCCTTAGACCTCTGCTTCTGCTCAAGGTTTCTGCCCCATTCTTTTATCTCTCCCCTGTCACTCCCATCTTTTTCCTCTTCTTCAGGTACAATGGTTTATGAGTGGTCCACGCCTTAGTCACCTCTAGACTGGATTACTGCAATGCACTATGTCCCTATGAGGAGGTTTTTCTCATGTCTCCCCTTTCTTACCATGATTGTGGGACAGTTTGCCAAGAGGGATAGGTCCAGACTGGGGAGAGAAGTTGTATATTCACCTCAAGTTGAGAATAAAGCATCCGGGGATTAACTCAGGTCAAGGCATGTAGATCTACCTCATTTTTACATGGCAGTGGAATCGAGTATTGGTACAAAGAGATGTTTGCTATATAGCAATAGTGGTGAAACTATGACGTGTGCCAGAAGGGCCATGCAGCTGCCTCTCACCTGGCACACGTGCTTTGCTCACCCTCAGCCTCCCCCTGCTTGCTTCATTTGTGTGGTTGAATGATTTTCTTTTGTCATGTCAGGAGTGACTTGAGAAACTGCAAGTCGCTTCTGGTGTGAGAGAATTGGCTGTCTGCAAGGACATTGCCCAGGGGACGCCAGTATGTTTTTGATGAATGGGTTGGGATTCAATGAGATAGTCAATGAAAAACTAAAGTGAAATGTGCTACAGGATATCCCACAAATTTGCAGTTTAAAAAATGTTTAAATGTTTTTATGACAGAACCAATTAGGAAATGACAAAACAAAAATCGTGTTACATAGTGTTAAGGATGATAAAACATCAAAAATCATCCAGGCGTCCCCTGGGCAACGTCCTTGCAGACGGCCAATTCTCTCACAACAGGAGCAGTTGCTCCTGACACGACAAAAAAAAATCACGAAATCATTGACACAACTTTTATAGGACTTACAGAATATATGCAATAACTCCAATGGACCAACAGTCTACAGCTTTGCTGTAGGGTTTCTGTGCAAGCACTTCTGGAGCTGTAATAAGAAATGAGAATAAAAGTCAATAAATAAGGTAAAATCCAACAAAAGTGTCCAATCCACGAACTCAAGAATTGTCATTCGAATACATTGTTCACCTACCTTGTTTCATTGCCACTGAAACAGAATAATTGAATTATGAGCTGTGGTGAATCTAACCTTTTGCCAGGAAGGCCGAAGCCTGGAAAGTCAGTAGCTGACAGGTTGAGAGATAGGCAGGAGAGCTAAGAGGCAAGAGGGAGGAGTCAGCCGACTCCTGATTGGCTAGAGCAGTCAGGGGAGGAGTTAGGTTTGAGAGGGAAAAAGGCTGTGTCTTTTTGACAAGCTGGGGATAAGAGCTTTCAACATCATAGAGTGAAGAAGTATTTTAGGAAGAGGGAGCTGAGAGGAATTTAGACAGAGAGAACTTTTGAAGTGAGCCTTGGGAGTTAGAGCATAGGGAAGGCAAAGATTCCTGGATCACTGTACATAGGAGAGTCAGTGAAGGGAAGCCTGGTTTGCTCTGTGAGGCAGTCAGTGGGCTGTTCTCAGGGACACACTGTGTAAGGGCCAGTGTGAAGCAAGGAACTCACAGGAAACAAAAGTTAAAGTCTTGAGAGAAGACTGCTTGTCTAAACCAGCTAAGCCTCTGAAATGCATTACGCTTTTGTACCACTCTTTTTAAGAGTTGATTTGTTCATCAAGTTTTAAATAAACCTGTTTCTAATTCACCTTTAAACTGGTGTCTGCCTCGGTCTGTCCCACTCAATAGATCTCGGCTAGCCTTAAGACATCTCAATTTCAGTCCAGTCAGCAAAAGGGGCAGTTGTTAAAGAAGAACAAAGGACTTGAACCTAATTTACCAATTTCACATTCACACTTATGTTTTCCTCAGACATATAAAATTGAGGTGGTGGCGGCGAATCTACCTAATACATCGGTCATTAACTTAGTTAAATCAGTTGGTCACTTAACAATATTTCTGAGGTGGGATAAGAGAGTCTTTCCCCCTTTGTCACAGCCATATATCCTCGTTAAAGTAGTGTCCAGCTGAACGTTAACATCTTTACACTGCTGGTAGAGGTGGGATTGCTTGTCCCCTCTGCCCAGTGTGTCATTGATCTTTTTACACTGTTGGGCAGCGGTGGGATTAGTCTGTCTCCCTGCCCCAAGTGGTCGTTGATCTTTTTTACATGAGCCCTCCAAACATTGGAGATTGTTTACAGGTGTTTGTATAAGCAACCATGTCTCTATGACATGTCTCTGTTTAAAATAGTAAGAGCACTGTTACTCCAAAGACTAATGTACAACAAGCCAAGCTTCTCCTCTTTTACAATGCATAATATAATTTAAGGTAACACTTGCAGAGCATATGTACACTAAGTCTGTGTTTAAATCTCTCAACAAGTCATAAAATAGTTTGTTGGGACTGGTTTTTTTTGTCGCCTAAAATGATTGTTAATCAGATGCAAACAACAGTCAGAATATGGACAAACTGACTTTTTTGTTGAAGAAAAACACAGGCAAGATATTGAGAAGAATGAATTGGGACGATCTTCAAGACTATCTGGACAATGGGAGAAAATAAAAAACAAGAGAGACAATTTTACCATCTTATTTTAGTAAGGAAAATATTTTTTGAGTAATAAGAAAATAATAACCAAGAAGATGGAATGGAAGTCACCTCTCTTTTTTTTGGTGTGTTTTTTTATGTTTTTGCCTCCCCCCCTCCCCATTTTGCTTCTTGTGGGAGTATTTTTTGTAGAATGTGTTTTTATCTTTATCTCTTTTCCCCCGCCCTCACTTTCCTATACTTTATTGTTCTCACTCTTTCGCTGTATTCTTTATAAAACCTAATAAAATTCTTTTAAAAAAGATTCTACATAGGAATCTTTTTGATCCCTACTTGGAGATCCCAAGGATTTAACCGGGGACCTTCTGTATGCAGTCGCTGAACTACAGATTATTTTCTACTCCAGATGAGTTTAGACATGAAATTGGCGCAACAATAAAGTGGAAACAATGAATAAGGGGAATGACCACGTATTTGGGAAATGTGTAATGCAGCGTTTCTCAACCTGGGGGTCGCGACCCCTGGGGGGGTCGTTAGGCCATTTTCTGGGGGTCGCCAAGGTGCCTTGGCTGGCCCCGCCCCCTCCAAAATGGCTGCCGACTCCCGGAGGCAGCCACATGGCACTCCTGGAAGGCTCCTCCTCTTGCTCTTCCCACAGAAATGTGGGTAGTCAGGAGGAGGAGCTTTGGAGGCAAAGGAACGGGGGAAGAAGACTCACACTTTGTTAGACCGCAATGTGAGTAAAACTCTTCATGCCGTCCTCATGCCTGTTCTGTTCACCATGGGAATTCTCTGTGCCAAGTTGGAGTGCATTGCATGGCTGCATGAGTTCAGAATGCTTTGGGATGGGAGAGGACTATATATCCCAGCAGTTGCCAAGGTCTATGTATCACAGTTATCTCCAGTATTTTCTGTTCACCATGGGAATTCTCTGTGCCAAGTTGGAGTGCATTGCATGGCTGCATGAGTTCAGAATGCTTTGGGATGGGAGAGGACTATATATCCCAGCAGTTGCCAAGGTCTATGTATCACAGTTATCTCCAGTATTTTCTGTTCACCATGGGAATTCTCTGTGCCAAGTTGAGTGCATTGCATGGTTGCATGAGTTCAGAATGCTTTTGGATGGGAGAGGACTATATATCCCAGCAGCTCCAAAATGCCAAGGTACCCCAATCCTCTCCAGTAATTTCTGTTGGTTATGGGAGTTCTGTATGCCAAGCTTCTTCAATTCCATTTTTGTTGGAGTTCAGAATGCCCTTTTTTTGGCTGAGGAACTATAAATCCCAGCAACTACAACACCCAAATGTCAAGATCCATTTCCCCCAAATTCCACCATTTTTCAAATTTGGGCATATTGAGTATTCATGCCAAGTTTGGTCCAGATCCATAGTCATTTGGGTTCTCAGTGCTTTCCGGATGTAGGTGAACTACATCTCCCATAAATCACTGTCAACTCCTCCCAAACTCCTCCAGTATTTTCTGTTGGTTATGGGAGTTCTATGTGCCAAGTTTGGTCCAGGTCTGTAATTCGTGGGGGATCTCAGTGGTCTGTAGAAGTCAGAGCTGAATTGGTTGAAGGTACCGCAAATCCCATCATCAATTATCCATACTCCCCTAAACATATTTTTTTTGGTGATTAATCACTATGCTTTAATTATGTTCAATTTGTAACAATGAAAATACATCCTGCATATTAGATATTTGCATTAGAATTCATAAGAGTAGCAAAATTATTTATGAAGTAGCAACGAAAATATGGTTGGGGGTCACCACAACACGAGGAACTTTATTTGGGGGTCACTGCATTAGAAAGGTTGAGAACCACTGGTATGAAACAGGAAGTTCCAAAGACAGCCAGTAACAATTACTGTTGTGAGAAAAGAACAATCATGATGAATTGTTGAAGGCTTTCATGGCCGGAATCACTGGGTTGTTGTAGGTTTTTCTGCGCTATATGGCCAGTTGTTGGCTCATGTTTAATTTGGACAACAAGTTAAACATGAGCCAACAATGTGATGTGGCGGCAAAAAAAGCCAATGGGATTTTGGCCTGCATCAATAGGAGCATAGTGTCTAGATCTAAGGAAGTAATGCTACCCCTCTATTCTGCTTTGGTTAGACCACATCTGCAATATTGTGTCCAATTCTGGGCACCACAATTCAAGAGAGATATTGACAAGCTGGAATGTGTCCAGAGGAGAGCGACTAAAATGATAAAAGGTCTGGAGAACAAGCCCTATGAGGAGCGGCTTAAGGAGCTGGGCATGTTTAGCCTGAAGAGAGAAGGCTGAGAGGGGATATGATAGCCATGTATAAATATGTGAGAGGAAGCCACAGGGAGGAGGGAGCAAGCTTGTTTTCTGCTTCCTTGGAGACTAGAGGAACAATGGCTTCAAACTACAAGAGAGGAGATTCCATCTGAACATTAGGCAGAACTTCCTGACTGTGAGAGCTGTTCAGCAGTGGAACTCTCTGCCCCGGAGTGTGGTGGAGGCTCCTTCTTTGGAAGCTTTTAAACAGAGGCTGGATGGCCATCTGTCAGGGGTGATTTGAATGCAATATTCCTCTTCTTGGCAGAATGGGGTTGGACTGGATGGCCCATGAGGTCTCTTCCAACTCTTTGATTCTATGATTCTATGATTCTAGAGGCATTTTCTCCTGACGTCAGGAGAAAATGCCTCTAGAACATGACCATATAGCCGAGAAAAACCTACAAAAACCCAGTCATGATGAAACTTGGAACTGAAGTTAGGTCATAATAAAATTCAGACTAGAAAGCAGTGTCAAATATTCCGGGGGAAGTGAAAAAAGTGATTATGTTGCTCCAGACTTGGAAGAAATTATTTTTATTAAAATTTTAGAATCCTTCAGCCAGTATGTCCCCAAGCTGCCTCAGGAATTCTGGGCCCTGTAGTCAAAAAGGTACCTTCTGGAAGCTCTATTCTTCCCCCTCCATCCCAAATGTTTGAAAATGAACAGCTAACAGATGGCTGAAGGAGGCCTGCAATCCACCTGTTAATGGATATGATCCACCTCTGATTGCCACCTTCCTGGCATGTGCCCCCGCATTTACAATTTGAAATGTTAACGTTTTAAGGAGCTTTTATTTTTAAAAGCGTGAATCATAATCATAATTGTCATCTGTCAGATCAGTACACTGCAAATAAAAACAAGAATGATGGAATGCCATTGAGTTCCTGCCAAACGGAGGAGAGAAAAAAAAGATCTCAAAACAAAACTCCCAGACTTTTTGGAAACTTGAAAAAGTGTTTCACAACAACTGAACCACCTCAACTGGGCTCTCCAGGCCAATGGATACTCCACCTCAGACATCAGAAGAGCTGCAAGACCAAGAACAAGCCACGAGAGTCAAGACGAAGATCCACCCAGAGGAAAAGTGTTCTTACCATACATCAAGGGAACAACTGACCGCATAGGGAAGCTGA